AAACATGAATACCTCCTAACAGTTTGATTTAATTCGTTGAATTGAATTTTAAGTGAGGTAGCACCATGTATGCAAATGATTCTAAATTCACATAGACGACGTCATGACACCAATATAAGAAATGCACCAAAGGGTGGATGGTGGGCGTGTCTTTGCTTTTAAAAAGGGGGGCTTTTAAACGTCACTATGTCCAAATTTGACAACATATTTAAATGAGTTATTTAAATATGCAAATTGGATTTTCCCGATATTTTCGATTTACGCTTGATCACGATCTACTTATTATGTAAGTAATCAACACGGACTAGGTGAATTCCATTTTAATTTGCTGGTGATTGGAATATCGAGAAACGCGGACTTACCTATTACCTTTTCACTTATTTCAAGGTTTTATCATCGCAACGTAGTAAAATGTTACAACGAACTTGTGTTTTTCATTGAATGATATATGGCTAACCAGTAATCATTGTTTGATTCTGAGATGAGCTTATGTATTATACATTAATCATAGACAATCTGAAACATATACTGCTGGCGTCATCTTATAGTGTAAAACAGGTTATCTGTCGTACGACATTTAACGTACACTTACCGAAAAAAAAAACTAGCGAATAGATATTTTGTTTCCTCAAAAAAGATCAGACTTGTGTATTGTATATTATTTGGGTGATCTTTAGTGTAAGGGTAGGGTTGCAGTGCTTGTTGATAAGGAGATATTTGAATTTTTGGCATTTTACCATAAACAGTCATTAATGTACTGACCACATCATTGTCATCTTTGTTTTTCTTGACACATGTTTTGTATTTAACACAAACACAAACATAAAATATGTTCAATAGATGGAGTAAACTACATACTTAATAAGATTCCTAAATTTTCACTCTGTCATGTGTAACGTAACGATAGCACAGTGGTAAGTTCTCCGCTCTCGACTCCAAAGATGCTTGGATGGAAACCTCAGTTGACTTTTTTTTTCTTTTTTTTCCAACTGAAAAGGGAAATTACATGATATCGAAACTTTCACGACATTGTTTCTATTTTGTTTCGTTAGAGGTCATTAAAAATAATGAAACAATTAAATCGTTGACTGTTTGAGAGTTGAAATTTAATCTTTACATAAATCTTTTAATTCTCAAATGGTTTCCAATCACAAAACTTCAGGTTATCTCTTAAGCGTGCGAAATTCTTTTTCTCATCAACAAAAAAAAAGTGGTATGACATAGATATTTCTATAGGGAATTCTCATTCTCTCAATTAAATCAATTATCAGTAAGACAGAAATCATACATGACAAATGCATTTAGGTTTGGGATTTACGTACTTTAAACATACTTCATTTCCGTTTGAGAAATCCTGCCAGATCTCATGATTACGCATTTTCAGAGCAAAAGGTAATACAGCTGAATGTAGATGCAGCAAACAATGTTTGAGAGTTGAAATTTAATCTTTACATAAATCTTTTAATTCTCAAATGGTTTCCAATCACAAAACTTCAGGTTATCTCTTAAGCGTGCGAAATTCTTTTTCTCATCAACAAAAAAAAAGTGGTATGACATAGATATTTCTATAGGGAATTCTCATTCTCTCAATTAAATCAATTATCAGTAAGACAGAAATCATACATGACAAATGCATTTAGGTTTGGGATTTACGTACTTTAAACATACTTCATTTCCGTTTGAGAAATCCTGCCAGATCTCATGATTACGCATTTTCAGAGCAAAAGGTAATACAGCTGAATGTAGATGCAGCAAACAATGTAAAGACTTTAATTACTATTTTGATGTTTGTCCCCTATACATTCATAATCGAAATTTATTAATGAGACAGTTATAACCTCTTTTTGAGAATTTAATAAGATTTACTCATATATGGCGATCAGAAATTAAGCATCGATTATCTTCCACTGTCCAAGAAGTCTATTTGTATTAGCTGAAAACAAGTACCTGTCACGATCACCTATTTCTCGAGGTTATATCAAACATCTCTATATAGACCAATCTGAATTATATAACCTTGGCATTCATACTAAGGGGCCCTAGATCATACATTATATCGACAGGATGCAATTTACAACAATTGATAAAAAGTTAAATAAACGAATTAAAGACTAAACTTTTTGTAATCACAAATCTTCAAATAGATAAACTTTTTGCATAGACAATAACGGAAATTCATTCATAAACACCATGAAATAAAGACACGGTTATTGTGTACTCACAAGTAAACGGAACAGTGTACAGTATACCGTACCTCATATGGCACGACCGCATTTATAGAAGCGATTAGGAATGGGCACAAGCGGAGCACTCTTTTAGGGAGCTTTGTTCATGTGACAACCCATGCTTGACAGGAAAATCACACTTGGCTTCTTCTTCAAGACGTGGTTAACACGCTCTTGTATTCTGTATATATACAACAGGACAAATCTTAATCGCGGTGTTTCGAATCTATTCATTTCAAATGCACTCATTTCAGAATACCAATGAAATCAGACAGTGAACTAATGTCGGGCATTGCATTTTGTAAATTGTGGTGATGAATTTCGATCTTCACTTCCGTTTAACTGATTTTATTCAATTGTTTTTACATGCCATCGTTAGGTTGCTTTTATTCGTTGCATCAGCTTTTAAGGGAAACAACACCATGTATGCTAATGGCACTACACCCACATACACGCTTTCATGAAACCGATATGAGAACAACACTTATGGGAGGACGGTGGGCGAATCTATGTCACAAAAGAGGACAGTTCAAACGTCACTATATCCAAATTTGACACCATATTCAGATGAGTTATTTAAAGATGCAAATTAGATTTTACCCGATATTTTCGATCTACGCTTGACAAGAAATTACGTGTTGTAACAAGAGGCCCTGAGGGCCTGTATCGCCCACCTGGATGTTTATGACCAACAGTACTATACCTGTGCATATGTTCCACAATAGATGCTTAAAGCAACATGGCAAATTACTCTATATGGGTTCTGTCCCTTAGTAGTTAGCCCCCTCATCTGTGCAACGTTGACTTGAGACTTTCTTATGATGTTTCCAGTTAAATATAATTGATAGCTCTCTTTTAAATCTAGGAAAGAAGATGGTCAAACAATATAGCAGAAAAACTCTTAGTTATAGCTGGACGGATGACCCATGACAGCAGAAGCTTACTTGAACTTTAGATCATTGTTTACAAACACAGATACAATATATCTGAGACTTGCACAAGTCAACAATATATATCAACAATTAAATGTAAAGACAGGAAAGATTAAGGTACTTGTAATTATAAACCATAATCCTAACTCAAAACCAATAATAAAATGTTTCATGCATATCATTAGTGATGTCACCATGGTCAGTTAAGCCCCTGTTACTGGAGATATACTGATAACAATTTACTGTAGGCCTATAACACTGCGTAGCAAATGGAATCAACTTAGAATTTCTTATTTATTTATGCTATAATTATGAAGAATCTTAAATCAAAATGAAGTTTTTGCAATTCTCTTCCCGATCATGTTTTCTGTATTCTGATGCTCTAATGCTGTGAATAGAACATAAGTAATTGGCTAACATGTAGTTTTTTCACATTACTGAGCTCAAGCCTCTCAGACCTCCAGGGAGCTTAGCCTAATGTATTTTTGGAACAGTGTAACATCACTGCGAAAGGTCTTTATAATTTATTCCAAATCATGTCAAGAAAATTCCCAGCTAAGTATATTCCTTTAATAAGTCATTGGAAGGTTCTACATATTTGTATATAAGCCTTTTTGATACTTTTACTGGCCAAATATGATAGCCTGGTCAATCAGAAGTTGTTAATGAATTTACCAAATTTAACCCCAGTGACGTATTTAAGATAAATTTTTATGGGTCAAGCTATTTTTTCACATATTATGTGGGCACTTTAAAGGGAACCTTTTGGCCAAATGTTATGATTTTAGGCCTGTTGGTTAAGCAGAAGTTGTTCAAAGGCTTAACGCATTTGACCGTTGTGATCTTGAGTATGGTTCAAAGTCATTTCTTTTCTCAAATATTATCGGGCATCATTGAGAACCTAATTTGGCATAATATCACTATCCTAGATATTTGGTCAGTCAGAAAAAGTTTCAAGGTTTAAACATATTTGACCCCCTGTGACCTTGAAGATTGGTCAAGGTCATTTCTTTTAGCAAACTTCGTAGGACACAATAAGAGGAATATAATAGCCTAATATAATGACTCTAAGCCTTCCGGTATTTTGGAAGAAGTCATTTAAATGTTTTAACACATTTGACCTCTGTGACCTTGAATATGGGTCAAGGTCATTTCATTTTCCAAATTTGTTAAGCTTCATCAAAGGAACCTTCTAGCCAAATATGATAACTCTACGCCTTTTGGTATTTCAGAAGAAGATGCTTTAATGAAAAGTTGACGGACGGACGACGGACGCTGCGCTATGGCATAAGTAATGAACCAGGACTAGAAAAGATAGTTATTAATTTCCGGGTGATTGGAATATCAATAACTGCAGATTTACTCATTACCTTTTCATTTTCTAGTAATTTTTTTTCTTACAATTGCAGTAAATTTATAAAATGGATTCGTTTATATTTCATTTAATATTTTGTGACCAGCCAGTAACAAATAATTAAACCCAGGATGAGCTTTTGTAATGATTATACAAAATTCATGGAAAATGTGAACACACACTGAAAGCGTGATTGTATGCCGAAATATGGTTTATCTTAAAGAAAAATCACAAGGAATACATACTTCGTTTCCCCAATAAGACATCATACTTGTGTAAGGTTTACTATTTGGGGTATGTGTAGGACGTGTTTTACATTGTTTGATAATACGGAAATGTGTGACAACCCAGGCTTGCCATGAAAAAAATACAAAGGTCCAATGTGTGACATCAAGGTAAGGTTTTGTATGACAGATATCAAAGAATTTCCATATTCGTTGTTATCATCGATCTTTGTGATCATCGGTGATGAAAATAAAACAAACAACATTTTTATTAAACTTGTATATATTTTCAAACAAACATATCACGTTTAACATTATCTTCATATGAATTAACAGTCTCTACACAAAGGCCAAAAAACACGAATGAATCTTTTGGCAATATTTCAGGTAGAGAAGGGTGACTATCGTGTCAGTATTACACGATGTAGAATATGAGAAATATAACCTCACATCTAAGTCAGTTTCCTCATCAAACATACCTTTTTCTGTCTATTTTCTGTACAATATGTAAACACACATCTGGCTCTGTTCAACCTGTCAATCATACTTATATCTCTATGATTCAGTTATGTATGTATATCATGAACACCTTCAGTTTTGTCTGACATAATATAAAATTATCAATTTTCGTGGTATTTCATTTCCGTTGATATCGTAGGTACTTTTCATCCACAAATTCACAAGTTAATATTGACAAGACTTTTTTTTCGAGTATAATATGATCTTGTGAAATAAAAATCATATGTCATTGGATGCTAAATTCAGCCCCACGAAAATATATTTTCTTACGGTAGATCCAATTAAACGAACACTCACTATCGCTCTATTTATATACAAAAAAAGAAACAAATTCTATGTAACGGTGTTATTAATGCTCTGTTAATTTTCTTATACGAGACGATAAGTAGTGGATCTATACAAGAAAGACTGATGCTGCTGGCTTGTGTCAAATCGAGCACTAAATTAAATTTTAGATTAGCACACACATACTGATAGTTACTGTATGCCGGGATAATTTCGCCCCAGGTTACTTCCGCCTTCTTACCATACTTGAATGTCCATTTCGTCCCCTTATGATTATATAAAAATGGTTATATACGTTATATACATCTCAAGTTAATCCTCCCAGTTCATAGGCGACAAGGGAGAATATTAAACGGGGGTGAAATTTTCCTGGTATACAGTATTAAGAAACACTGTGTGAATTTCCATATATTTTATATGTAAGTTTTTAAGGATTTAAGCTTTGAAACAGCAAGAAAATACCACCATCTTAACAGAATCATAATTCAAACTCAAATTCAATAAAACTAGGCCGAAATATAAACAAAAGAAAGATTTTCACGTAGACCTCTGATAAAAAGAGAATAAGACCAGGTGTTCCAAAACAGTAAGCGTCTTCTGCTCCAGAGAAAATGGTCTCTGCTCAAGAATTGGTAACTTATTTCACATTATCTTCTTATTTCATGAAAATCATTGATTTGTCTCGAAAGATCTGTTTTGCGGAAGATTAAATTCCAACAAAAATAACACTTTCACTACTTCTGTATAAATATGTTGTAAATATTCGTTTCATGAACCATCTTTGAATTTGACAACTCAATTTAAGACTATGTTATGTGTGGACTCGCACGAATTTTATATATATCGATTACTGGAAATGAAAACTCGATGGGGTATATTTTTGAAAATGACAGATTAGTGATAGACTAAATATCTCTTAGAACACGCCCCAGTTACTCATTGACAAGAAAATAAAAACTTAAGAAAAGATGATGATGATGATGATGATGATGATGATGATGATGATGATGATGATGATGAAGATGAAGATGATGGTGATGATGATGATGATGATGATGATGATGATGATGATGATTCTTCATTCGTTTATGATTCATATGTTTATGATAAACATGTTTGGTTGGTATTTAGACGGTTAAAAACGGACTACTTTTTTATTGTTAACAAATTTACTGCGAAACTACCTCGAATTGTCATAAAAGAAGAAAAAAGAAAATACCAACTTGTCATTAAAATCTTAATCTCAAACATAAACTTTAAAAAACTTGGACACTATATGATAAATGGAAAATATATATGAATACTTCAGAAAATTTGTAAGGAAGATAGGACCTCTTGTTCCAGAAGACTGACGTCTTCTGCTTCACTGGCGACATCCATCTTTTCGATCGTTTATTTTTAGAAGCATCAGCAAACATTCCGGTTCTCTAGCTACTAAAATTAATCTGGAATATTATATAAAAATTGGGTTACATCATGTTGTCCCACTGTTAAGGTTACGATCAATAACCTTCGAGGAAGCCTAATTTTCATTTTTCATAGATCGAAAAAATGTAATTTTTCATAATATCAATGAAGTTTGAAGGGATAATTCTTAATTTATTTCATGACTTCAATAGAAATATTTCCCCTTCGCCCTTTTCGCTAATTGGAGAAATGACATTTAACCATTGAATGAAACCATCGTTTCAGTAAACTAATTTCATTTTCACACTGTGTGAATTATTGACCAAATGAGTGTGTTTCTTGTTCCTTTGTAACCTACTTCTGATTTCAATTATAAAATAATGTCAGAAATGCCTTAAAATTTTACGCATTATATTCTGTTTCGATGATACATATTTAACTGAATCACACAAAGTTAATGGTTCGGGAGGAAAAGCTTTTAAAGAATTGCTGATAAATGACGTGCAGCCTAACATTACATCAGTTCCTTCAAGTGGCTGTGCAGCTTTCTGGCTTGTCGTGATTGATATGATGATTGAGGAAATCGTTTGGTTTGTTGATTGCTATGGAGGTATATTTCAATTGTACATTTCCCGCTACTACAAATTTCACACACCGTGCAAAACAACCATTACGACTTATCTTATAAAATTCATTATTCAATAATTTGTAATATCCTAACAAACCAGCCAGACATCATAAACGTATTTTCTATTATTGCAATTAAGACAAAAGTGAAATTAAAATTCATAGGTGATGGTGACCAGTTTATTTTTGTGGGAGAATAATTTTTCAATTAATAACTAAGATATATATCTACTATTGTGAATGCAAATTTGACATATTGTAATGATTTCTCCTTAGTTATCATCTGTAATGTTTGTAAATAAGACCGTGTATGACATTTCACGAATGAAAGAAAGAATATTATTTCGTGTGAAAATATAATCATTAACATGAAATGGGCGGACTTACCGGTACAAAGTGACCTGAATAATGACTTGCTCTAACTAATATTTCAAACACACTCCTAAACTACTTCAAAACGTTTACTAAAACCTTGTAATAGTGATTTTAAGCGGTCATTTGTTATTGGGAATTTTATTTTAATACTAACCTGAATTCAAACCAATATATACACCATAAAACGTTAAAACTGTAAAATTACGGTGATTTTACTTAAAACGTATAACCAAAGTTTAGCGCATTGTCACATTTGTGCATCAGTAGTTATTGCTATTTATAAACAATATTCAGCAATGTTCGCGCAATAATGTCAAAAAATCACTAAATTTAGATTACCACTAAAATAATTATTTTACAGTAATTCGCTCTAATGTTAGTATTAAGATTGAAAGTTAAACAACTGCAATATATGTATGACCTAATTTATTTTATTTATCATTTTTCAAAATAAATATTGTCCCCTATTGCCAGTAAAAAATGAGTTACCAGCTACTCTGTCATCTACTGTTAGTTTCATTGCCCTTTCTACCAACTCATATTAAAACAGGCCATGGTGACCAAGTCAATATTTTATTGTTTATCATTCGCTAGTTTTACTCGGCTAATAAAAAATCAGATTGTTTTAATAATCTTTTAATGACTTTATGTGAAATTACAAGCATTATTTCAAAGAATCAATTTTGGGATTCGATTATCTAAGATTGTGACATGAATAATTTTACGTAAATATTATTTCAAAATCAATGAAATGTTCTGATATAACTTCAATTTAAACAACAAAGAAAATACTGCTTTGTCAGCAAATTCTTGAATTAGTGCAAGTCATGTGTGCGGTTGGACCATGTCGGATATGTAACGGTCTTAAACCTTGATATATTGGAAAAAGGAAGCCTTCAGTTTCATCTCTCTTCCCACTTTTGTTAAACTAAGCATGTTTACCTGATCTGAAGGGTTTTGCAGCTTTGAATTAGAATTATTTTAAACATATAGCTGTTTTATCAGACATTTTTACTTTCGTTTATCATGTTTACAGGAACACTTTTTTTTTATCCGCGTTGTGTTTTCAAACTCAACACATGCATAAGTTTTGATTATTTCTCAAATAGTTACATCTTTGTACGTAAGAAACACAATCACATAGACCGACAATTTAGTACTATGGACTGACACTGGTCTTAGATTAAATGTCTGTGCTGGTCTAGTATTTAATTTGTCGACAAAGAAATATTATAATTTCAAACAAAACACACATATTGAATTTATATACTGCAATCAGAACATCACTACACACTTGTATGTTGATATACCGACACAATCACACATAATACCAATCCATTTTTATGCAGTAAATAACATGATTTTTTTAAAGTTTAATTTTTATATAAAACCACGCATGCGCACTCATCCAGAAGTCGACTTCCTACATTGCCAATGCAATCTCACCACACAATTTCACTTTATCTGTTTGTAGACGACATACCACTTAATACTTGTAACTTATATGATATATACATACCAACAAGACACTCCAACATGTGGAATATTTATCTTATGTTTGGTATCATTTGCCATCATCCACCTGGAAGATAAAATATCTGCACATCAAGTCGTACGCATAAGTATTTACAATGGTAAAATTCACATATATTTGTGCTAACTATATATAACGTTAAATAATATGACGCTAAAGCTTGTTGCTTTTTTGGTAAAATCAGTCAACAAAGCTAATAATGCATGTTTACAGACGCTAAGACACCAATGACATCAGCAACAGCAGAAATAAACTATGTAATTCATAATACTTTGGCTTCAAAACAATTCCAACTGAAATGAAGCGAACGCTAGTAATTTGTCAATCTGGACACCTGAAATGTCCTGTTATGTCGTACAACAGTTAGGAAGAACAAACGTGAAATAATCCTAACCCCTGACAAATACCACATCCTCTCTGGCTCATTGATGATCATGGTTTCTGTAAGCTAGCTAGCAACACGTCAAGTTGTTGATCCAACCAACACGGTATGCCTCATTATACCAACTATTAAGTCTTTAAAGAAAAAGATTGTTGAAAGATAAAACTCGAGTGAGTTATTTCTCTGTATGTGAACTGTTTATCCAAGAACTTAATCATCCGTAAGAGGATCTAAAATATGACATTTTCCGCATCAGTAGTTGACATTGCTTACCATTTAATTCTAAAACCCCGAAAGTTTGACGATTCTTACATTTATGTTTTTGTATTTATTTATACCTAACCGAAAACAAAATATTACGCAGCTCTAAGAACTAGAATTAAACAATAAAATTAGGAAAAAATTGATACGCAGATAAAGAGCTGCTACACTTTTACACAAAAATCTGCAACAATACATCTAGTGGCGAAACCCCGAAGCGCTACTTGTATCACTGATATGATATTACAAACGTCACTGGTTAAAAAAAAATTAAGACTTCCATGAGGACAAAATTGTGTCAAAATTTATTCCAACATAAATGCAAATGTGAAACCAAAAGTAAATAATAATAATAATAATATCCGACAAAGCAATGATAAATGTACTGGCCAGAAAGTGACACTGTTCGGTCCTTGTGAACGATTTCGCTTTATTTTGTAATGAAACCGCAATTATGGATAATTAATAACGTGCATGATCAGAGAATTTGTTGATATAGTAAATTTGGACAAGAGGCCCAAGGGGTCTGCATTGTTCATCTAGCTAATTCAGCTATTCAGTAATTTAACAAAGAGTTTCGAATTTGATAACTATTTTTTTTAAATAATTTCCTATTGGGTCCCAGATTTGTGATAAATCAGTTTCATTATTCTTCCGAGCAAACTTGGCCATTCGGGCCAGGCGAGCTGAAAAGGCTGCAATTTATGTTCAGGTCCCGAAGGAAACATGTATTTTTTTATTTCTTAAATGTACAAAAAGCGTGAGTTTGAAGCATCGCATTAACCCAACTACATATCTGTTTTAGAAATTAGATTTTAAATTTTAAGTTTTACTGTGTGGAAATCACATCTTTTTGATTTGATTTATAGAAAGGTTAAACAAGGAATATAATTGCAATATCAAAATGTTACATATGACGTCAGATGATGGTATAATGCCGTCAGCCATCCCACATTAAACTCACTGCAATTAAGTGCGGAGTAAGTGTTTATCATGTGTTAATTAAGTGGTGATTTCATTCATTTGTAGATAAACCTTAAATCACGTGATTTTAGTGAAAGGCAGGCAATGAAGATTTGGTTTCGATTCGGGTTTCGCTGATAAACTAAATATAACTATCATAAACAGTCAGCAAAGTAAGTGATTATATAAACAACCTTCAGATTAAATCACAACACACGACAAATGACTATTTATATATAAGAAACAGAAAGCTGGGTTAGCATTTAAACAAAACATACAATAATAACTTATAAATTAAACATCAGAAAATATGCATCGTATTGGGTTAAAATTGGGTTAAAATATGTCAATCCCTGAATGTATATGGAAGTGCTGTTATTGGTTTCTTGTTTCTGTAGCAGGCTATAAGCAGTATACATTCCTATTCTATATAAGATTTATGAACGAGTTATAGACCTTTTGAATTTAGAGTGTACTTCTACTCTAAAGTGAAAAAATGCAAGAAGTCTTAGGAGTGCCATAATTCATATCGTTTTCTTATATGAAAAAACTGTTGATAATGCATAACTCCTTCCAAGTCCTCCTCTACGGCAAGATTTTCAATTTAGCTCTGCTGTCGCTGTTATGACGTCACAACATTATATATGTATATATGTCCTTGATGTCATTTGAACATCATTTATGACGTCAAAATAGTTAATGCTATTTCCATTTCCTGCACGTGTTCATATTAATAAACACGATATTAATTTGATAATGATTCTTGAACTTGATAAGTTATTACTCTTCTCTGTTCCTAGCAAAAGGATAATTGATTTTCAGAAATAATACCAATATCATAATAAAACAACTGGCAAAAGATTCCACACATTTCATCTCGTTCACATGTTAATTATTGTAGAGGTTGTTGTTTTCGAGAAATTCTATTTTCGCTGGTTTTGAGGATGGAATTAAGTCACGAAAAAAAATATTTGAAATAAAATCAATAGAGAAAAAACCGTACAAAGTTTCATGACTTCTGTGAGAAACATCCAAGGTTTTGTTAAAACCGCGAAAATTAAAGCCATCAAAAAAACCAACCTCCTCAGTATTAATGGTGCAATATGGTTAAATATATATATATATATATATTCCTAGAAATACTATACTATATACATGACCCTACCTATGTCCAACCTATAGACATATATTGTAACAACGTCCTAACTATGCAAAGGTTTAAAACAAATAGTACAATATTCACTAAAGTCGGTGTTTGTTGAAGCGCAAGTCGTTCACTTGAATTGCTTCTTGGTGTAATTTTGCTGGAATCGGTAGATTCATTTAATAAGGTTGATGACGATGAGACTGTAGTCTCCTCTAATTTGCACGGAAATTCACAATCATTTGGTCTCAGGTGACAATCCTTGTAACAATTGGAAAAGGGTTCTTCCTTAAAAATATCACGATCTGTAAAACAAAATAAATTTAATTAATATACTTTGAATTGAATGAGAGAACGTTTGTGATTTAACCCTAGTATCAAGTGGATTTTGGCAAAGAATTGAAGAAATGGTTTTCGTTATATCAGTTGCCTCCCTTCTTCCGACGACGGCTTGAGTAGATAGTCTTTGTGAACTGTTTCTTTGTGCATACAAGTATATATTTCAGAAAAACAAATTTGTATTACAGTGTAAACAATATAAACATGTTCGGGCTTGATCGGTTTGTCACAGATTTGTTTATTTGCCAATTTTAGTGTCTTAATATTTTTCAGTTTGTTACATGGTGTTTCGTGCTGGTTTGGCAGAAATTGTACACATAAACATGTAACTTCAAATATCTCTCTATCAGATTTCGTAAGTAATGCAGTTGTGGTAAATGTTATTATTTGAAATAGATAAGAAGAAAATAGATACATAATATATATACATAAACAGTTTGTGTTTCTGATTGTTGTGGGATATCGTATAAACAAATTTCCCAAACATGTAGCCACATCACCTTATCGATAACATAAATGTTGTGTTTTTAATATTATTGAGGTAAATGGAAAATTCACATGCAAACACGCACGTTACATCTATCAATGACTCAGGAACACAATGCAGTTCTAATCAGACAACAAAAGTCAAAATTGTGCAAACAATAAAAAAGCGCCACCTTTGTTTAATATTTGAAATAATCGATAAAATAACGGGCGATGTATGCACTAAATCAACGTTCACGCCCGTAGCCACGAGTATCACAGCAATGTAAACATGACGTCCTTGTTGCTATGACAACTACGCCGTAATTAAAACTATAGATGGTAGATATAAGACTGGTGTTATTTCTTAGTATTGATATAGCTCGTAGGCGTGTTGTAGTTAGCCTATCTAGGGCAGAAACATTGTTATTAAGGTCAAGTAAAGGTGTTCTCTCCGTGGTGTATATATATACCAAGAGTGTTTCGTTTATTCGACATATCATTTAATAATCCGAATTCTGATTACACAAGGTTTTTTGTCAATCTCTCAGAGTAGACTTTTCTATAAATGAGATGACCTAATATAACTATGCTTAACAAAGGTACATGTATCTGTAGACCAATATTTTGCATCTTGGCTTTTGGTCAAAGATGAGTGAGAGAAAATTGTCTTCCATGCCAAACTACACATACACAGAACATTAGCTGTGTACAGGGTTGAACGAGGTTTCAGTTTAAGGCCGTTTGAACTCATCTCTAGCGCAACATTATCTTGACTGTGTCTTATTTGCATTCGGCTGTAATGTCTATATCAGCTGTACATTGTCAGTACCATGTACATTGGTATCCACTATCAGTGGTCTGGTGTACCGGTGTATCATTAAACACTAGATATACAGAAACATGACTATAGAACATGTGCTTTGTACTGATCCTTTGTAATGTTTTTACACGATGTGTTCAGAATCTTCCATGTCAACGTTACCACTATAGTACATAATAAAACTAATTGAAACTGGAAAATAAGAATTTTAAAAATTCGCAAACAAGTTAGTACACAAATTCTGCACTGTAAACTTATATATACAGTTCTAAAATGTCGTGATAGTTACAGTCAATATATTGTAGAACAAAGGTTGGAAGTATACATGTAATTTTAATAAAGAATTACACTACTGGTTCTCGATAATCATCAAAAGTTAAACACATAACGCCAAAGAGGTATCTCAATACATTGAAGTTAACATTTAAGCGAATTGTTTTCGGAATTCATGGATATTTATTTTCTTTTGAGAATAATCTTTAACCTATGAATTGGAGTAGTCTAGAATTATTACAAAAAAAAAGGTTATTGTGATACTAAAGTGAAAAATTATACAAGTAAACAAACTCACCTTTGCATATAAAGCTAGGGTCTCCTGCTTGAGCGTAGGACGTATTTGGACGAAAAAATGGGCACTTGCGCTCTACCTCCATGCACATGTCTTGACAGGGCGGTACGGGTATGTCTCTGTCGAAGTAGCACGCATGATAGTAGTCTATATGTAATGAGCATAGCCACTTCCTATATGCTACCTGAAATATAGTTTAAAAAGTAAATCTTATTTCTTTTCTAATGAATCCAAACATAAGTATAAACAGACACGTGCGCAATACATTTGTAAATCACTATATCATTGACGTCATCAGGAAAAAATACACAATATACTGTTAGTATTATCAGTTGTGACCTATTTTGACCCATGCTAAAATAATTTTCAAGAATGTCTATTTTTAACTAATTTCGAGGACTGAACACAATAGAACGAAAGATATGCCTAGAAATTAGAATAAAAGAAAACATTCTTCAATGAAAAACACATGCGTTTTTCGTCAAGCTTTTAGTCAAATAGCGAAAATATGAAAACTCGTACAATATTCCTACTGTTTTAGAACTAAGTGTTTGATGTTAAGGTATGAGTGGTCGTGTCTCAGTAATAGTGATAATTACCGACTAAGCATACCACACAACCAATAAATAAGTCGATAAGTCTAATTAAGCCGGGTATTTTACATCTACATGTGGAACCCATACGATTGGCTATTTTGAGGTAAGATGTGAGATTGACAGGAACCATATTTCATAATATTACAAAGTGTATTTGAGAAAACGTGCGACTGATGTATAGTGTAATAATCCAGACCCCAACATTTGCATTCGGTCGTTTTCTTGTGATGTATAAGTCTGCTAACGAACTACCAAATCTTGACCAAAACTGAGGGAATTTTTTAAAATTAAATAGCTCATTCATTATTTTCCCCAGAAAATTTCGAAATGAAATATTTTCATTCTGGAAAAATTGTCGTGACATTATCACCCACTAATTGGTATGCAGTGAGAATACATTGCCGGTCAGTGTACAGTTCTCCTCATCAGTATAATGAAAGACCACGTGAAAACTGGCATCCTCTGGAACAACTGCGCCAAAGACAACGGAACGGATTTAGGAAAATCTACTTTAATTTATGACAATCTGTCTCTCTTCTCGTTTTGACGCAATTTTTCTCAAGAATAAGGAGTTACACTATCTATAATTAGTGACATTTTCATATTTGTACTAATGATACCACATATAGACATTTTCTCGTGTATTATTATATACATGTAGGCGGTACCTTAAAATCAGATAAACCGCCCATTGTCTTAAAACATCGAATAGTTGATGTAGTGCCATCTATTTTTTTTTCAATTGATCAAGGTATGACCATAAATTTAATGATGACTTCTATTTTGGGATTGGTAAGTGTGTATCACTGGGCCATATATAAAGGAATGGGTTTTATTGGTAACGTACAACATATAGGTCAGTGACATCATGTAAAATTGTCCTCGGTAAATCAGTCAAGGCTCGGTCGATACTACAAATGTGACAACAATCAAGCATGTCAGCCACTTTACCCCGCATTCTCGGATATAACACTATTTTTACATTTTATGTCCAACTGCATCCTTTGTTTTATCAGATATAATGAGTTTGATACTACAAAACACTTCATTACCAAACATGCATGACGTCAACAAGGACTTGTCTTCGTCATTACATATTAATTAGTAATATCATTAATGACAAGTTGGCATACTTCAGTCAATCTGTAACTCGTTGTGAGACGACAAATACGACGGCAGGTATGTCTTGATATTCCCAAACTGTTGCTTGGAGCAGACTGACCTATCCCTATCAATGAATGTAAAAACTTGAATTTCTTAAAAGGTTTTGCTTTATTTTGAATGACAGTCAAATGCTAAGTCAGATTTTGAGCGATATTAAGAACACATACTGATCTCGAGGCGAGCTTCAAAGTGTGTAGTCATTTCATTTAATAGTCTGTAATCATTAAGGAAAATGTACAAAAAGATACCCAAGTGAGTATCATCTTTCAATACAGTTTTAGCAGTAAATACAATTAATACAATAGTACCAATCAATGAATTAAACTACAGCCATTCTTTCGAGGAGGCGACAGAGGAAAACCAAACTTTGAGGAAGGAAAAGTCATGATCTAGACATAGGAAGCACAATAAAAATCTAATTTACATTTTTTATATAAATATATCGATCTCCCAACATTTGGGGGGGATGAGACAAACAGTGTTATCTCTGTGTAGTTATATTTCATCGATCCTTCTAATGAATTCCTTGAAGTCTATCTGCCAGTTCATCACAAATAGGTCTCTGCCAGTTCATCACAAATAAATATCTGCCAGTTCATCACAAATAGATATCTGCCAGTTCATCACAAATAGGTCTCTGCCAGTTCATCACAAATAGGTCTCTGCCAGTTCATCACAGATAGGTCTCTGCCAGTTCATCACAGATAGGTCTCTGCCAGTTCATCACAAATAGGTCTCTGCCAGTTCATCACAGATAGGTCTCTGCCAGTTCATCACAAATAGGTCTCTGTCAGTTCATCACAAATAGGTCTCTGCCAGTTCATCACAGATAGGTCTCTGCCAGTTCATCACAAATAGGTCTCTGTCAGTTCATCACAAATAGGTCTCTGCCAGTTCATCACAGATAAGTCTCTATGGCATTTCACCACATGTAGGTCTCTGGCAGTTCATCACAAATAGGTCTCTACCAGTTCATCACAGATAGGTCTCTGGCAGTTCATCACAGATAGGTCTCTGGCAGTTCATCACAAATAGGTCTCTGCCAGTTCATCACAGATAGGTCTCTGCCAGTTCATCACAAATAGGTCTCTGCCAGTTCATTACAAATATGTCTCTGGCAGTTCATCACAAATATGTCTCTGCCAGTTCATCACATATAGGTCTCTGCCAGTTCATCACAAATAGATCTCTATGGCAGTTCGTCACAAATAGATTTCTATGCCAGTTCATCACAAATACGTCTCTATGGCAGTTCGTCACAGATAAGTCTCTATGGCAGTTCATCACAAATAAGTCTCTATGGCAGTTCGTCACAGATAAGTCTCTATGGCAGTTCATCACAAATAAGTCTCTATGGCAGTTCGTCACAGATAAGTCTCTATGGCAGTTCATCACAAATAAGTCTCTATGGCAGTTTAAGTGAAAAGAAAGTAAATTATTGAATTGTAATGTAGTGTTTAAAAATTGGAATTAAGGATTTCAGAATTAGTTGTACGATATAGAAAGAATTTGCTTTAAATTTCTTCTATTTTTCCTTATGATTACTTATTCATTTACCTACAATATACATTTTCTATGGTCTTAAGTTTATCCTACATTTATTTTCGGTTGAGTTGATTTTACCAAATAACGAAACGAAACGTACAATTCGATCTTATTTCTATAGTCTTAAGTTTATTCTACATTTATTTTCGGTTGAGTTGATTTTACGAAATAACGAAACGAAACGTACAATTCGATCTTATTTCTATAGTCTTAAGTTTATTCTACATTTATTTTCGGTTGAGTTGATTTTACGAAATAACGAAACGAAACGTACAATTCGATCTTATTTCTATAGTCTTAAGTTTATTCTACATTTATTTTCGGTTGAGTTGATTTTACGAAATAACGAAACGAAACGTATCTTATTTCTATAGTCTTAAGTTTATTCTACATTTATTTTCGGTTGAGTTGATTTTACGAAATAACGAAACGAAACGTACAATTCGATCTTTTCATCCGATATGAAATTATCACTTTCCAAGAATTTTATTAAGTTTAAAATTTCATCAAATTTATCTGAATCAAAGCACCAACTTAATTGGTTTGAAGCATTTCGTCACGACTATTTGGATGTGATGAACTTACAATCCCGGATTTTCTTAGCTATTTTCCGTAACTGCACGAATCGAAGTTTCAATAATAATTGATAGTGTTGATTATCAATAGTCATTGTTAAAGGTTAAATGTCAAGTCGTGCTGTAAAATCACACATTTTTGTAACACTCAAATTTCGTGATTAGAAAAAAAATCGATGGCACTTATAACGGGAACAAATCTTACTCATAACATAACGAAATCAACAACTATCACAGTTAATCTTATCTGGACATCAGTCATGAAATCGTGAGTTAACATCAATCGCGAGATCAGCAAAAAAAAAAAAAAAAACAAGCAAACAAATTATTTCATCGCCACACAAATTCTTTTTTACCTAGTACCGTACAGATACAAAATTAGCGAAGATAAAATTTCACGAAAATCAATTATTACCCCGTCACATGAACTATTGTTGATCGAACACGTTACTATTATTAGTGCATTCTTAACGGCCCGTCAACACATTAAAGGTCATTAGGGCCATCAACTGGTAAAACACACAGCGATCGAACACGTTACAGAGATCCTTTGCAAAAAAATAAAGGTGTATGACATCTTTCTGGATACGTCACAGACATAAAAACAGATGTCACACACCTTTAAGTTTCTGCAAAGAATCTCTGGCATACCGAGTCCGAAATCTTGACATTGAAACAATGAAATCGTGTCCATCTTTTCCTACGTCATATACTGAAATACATGCGGAATGTCTAATACCAGGGTAACTGAAGTTGCTAGGCGACAACTGCTGTTGTTAAAACAACATGTCTTGTCTAAACTCTGGTGACGCTGGATGATTTTATAGATAACATAGTTGATGTTCTTTTACACAGATTATACAAAATACAAAAGTGAAAGCATCATTTAATCCAAATTCAGATAAGATACAGTAGAGCTAAACTATAAATTAAACTGCATCGTACAATTGTTTCGTCCTCCTGGAACTCGTCAGTGATACTACATCGTACAGTTGTTTCGTCCTCCTGGAACTCGTCAGTGATACTACATCATACAGTTGTTTCGTCCTTCTAGGACTCGTCAGTGATACTACATCGTACAGTTGTTTCGTCCTTCTAGGACTCGTCAGTGATACTACATCGTACAGTTGTTTCGTCCTTCTAGGACTCGTCAGTGATACTACATCATACAGTTGTTTCGTCCTCCTGAAACTCGTCAGTGATACTACATCATACAGTTGTTTCGTCCTTCTAGGACTCGTGAGTGATACTACATCGTACAGTTGTTTCGTCCTTCTAGGACTCGCCAGTGATACTACATCATA